GAGTTTTGCTTTGAAATCACGTACTGAAGCTGGACTCTCTTAAGCACCACATTGTGGTGTTATGGTTTGGATATGAAGTGTCCCCCCAAGACTTATGTGTTGAAGGCTTGGTTCCCAATGCAACAATGTTCAGAGGTGGGGATTTGGGGAAAGTGATTGGATCCTGAGGGCTCTCACCTCACCAGTCAGTTAATCCACTGGGGGATTCTTACTTGATGGCATTATTGGGAGGTGGGAGAAACTGTAGGCTACGGGGCCTAGTTGGCAAGAGTAGGTTACTGGGGGAGGGCCCTGGAAAGCTATAACTTGTCCTGAGCGCCAACCCCCCAACACACACAGTCTCCTTCCTGCCTTTTCTCTGCTTTCCATTGCCAAAAATTGAGAGTTTTCCTCTGCCATGCCTTTCCGCCATGATGTTCTGCTTTGCCTAAGGCCCAAACCAATGAAGCCAATAGACCATCAACTGAAACCTCTGAAGCTGTGAGCCAAAATAAATCTTTCCTCCTTTAAGTCATTTCTTTCATATATTTGTCACAGTGGTAAAAACTGACTAACACGTGTGGTATAAAATGACTGGCCTAAGGTATGAAGAACGTGCCAACCATGCTGCAGACTAGCCCAGCATGCCTCTTGGGACATCTTCAACATCTGTTTGTGGCTCAATTGTTTCTTCTACAGAAATGGGGGAGTAATATATGACCAATACTTGTGGGTGATGTATACCTCAGAAGGTAGATAAATATAAAATATCAACACTGGAATCATCACTTTAAAGCATGTCATCAATAGTTTTTGATGTTGTTGTTTTGTTTGTTTTTGTGAGACTGGGGATTGAACCCAGAGGCACTCTACCACTGAGCCACTTCTCCAGTTTTGGGTTTTTTTTGTTTTTTTTGGTGGTGCAGAGGATTGAACCCACAGCCTGAAACAAGCTAAGTAAGCTCTCTACCACTGAGCTACACTCCCAGCCCTTCCTCAGTCTTTAAAAAAGAATTTTTCTTTGAGATAGGGTCTCACTAAATTGCCAAGGCTGACCTTGATCTTGGAATTCTCCTGTCTCAGCCTCCCAATTTGCTGGAATTACAGGTACACCACCGCACCCAGCTCATCAATATATTTTTATTGAAAATATGTATATTTTAAATTTACATAGAGAGGCAATGGTAGTTTTTAATAAAATTGTAAGTGAATATTATTGACTCTGACTTATAGCCCTGTTGTTGAATAGCTCCTCTGTTTCCTAATATATATATGAAAAATGTCCTCAGTTTAATGCAAAATACAAGATGAGCAGGTGTTGGGCATTTCTATGACATGAATTCAAAGTTATCTTTTCTTGTTGTGTACTGTAAACTCTGTACAGAATTGGGAGAGTGTTTACATGAAAAAAAATTCTGCCTTGATTTTAAAAATATTCTAAATAAGAGTGCTGTTGCTTTTTGTTTTTTAATTTATGGTAAAACGTTTTAGAGATAGCAGAATTTTTTGTTCTTTTAATTAAGGTCTAGCATTATAGTTTTATTTATTTTTACAACTTCATGTGACATAGAAAATTCTGCCAGATAAATATAATTCTATGAAAGATGAATACAATGAAATATTTAAGATGTTTTAAAAATATAAATGTCAATAAAAAGTGGGTTGAGGGAGCCATTGTTACTAAAAATATTAATATGTTCCTTAGATATAGACGAGAAAAAGGTGCCTCTTGGAAAAAGAAATGTTTAAATTATGAATTTGAGAATAGAGTGTTTTCTTATTTTTTTTCTGCTTTGATAAGGGTTAGTATCTGGTAGGAACAGTATTGCATTTAAGTTTAAAAATTAAAAAAAATATTAGAGTGGTCCATTTAAATGCTGTGAATTGAATTCCTATAAAAGAATGCTTACAAACACAGAAACATTTGTGGAGAACGCCAGCTCTATGTTGGCTTCTTATATATTTTATCTCTTTTTTTCCCTTTCTTTTAAAGATTTTTTTCTTCTTCTTTTTTTATTTATATAAAACAACGGAATGCATTACAATTCTTATTACATATATAGAGCTCAATTTTTCATATCTCTGGTTGTATACATAGTATATGCACACCAATTCATGTCCTCATACATGTACTTTGGATAATAATGATCATCACATTCAACCATCATTAATTACCTCTTTTAAGCCAAATTGACACCTGTGAAATTGGTTTCATTAAACTTCTACATTAGAGTGGAGAAAACTCAGGTTAGTGGACTTGTCCAAAGTAAGACCCCTAGTGAATTTGGGCAGCTGGACTCCAGAGCCAGGGCTCTCACCCCCTCTGACAGCCTTCCTGTGTTCTATTAAGGATGTGGGTCATATGCACTGATAAGGCACACTCTCCAAGGTCAAATTGTGTAACCTCCAAGACATGCAGTTGCCCTCCATGACCATAGGGTCTGCATCTGTGGATTCAAACAAACAAAATCAAGAATATTTTTAAAATTACATCAATACTGAACATGAACAGACTTTCAACCATTTACATAGTATTTACATTGTGTTAGTTATTATAAGTAATCTACAGATGATTTAAAGTACTGTGGAGGGAGCTGGGCACAGTGATTCACACCTGTAATCTCAGCATCTTGGGAGGCTAAGACAGGAGGATTAAAAGTTTGAGGCCAGCTTTACTTCAAAAATTTTTGTCTCAAAAATAAAATAAAAAAGGTCTGGGGCTATTGCTCAGTGGTAGAGTGCCTATGGGCTCAATTCCTAATACCACTAAGCAAGCAAATAAAGTACACATGACAGTTGTGTAGGTCATATGCAAACAGTATACCATTTTATATAAGGTACGGAGCAATCTATGACTTTGGCATTTGAGAGGATCCTGGAACTAATCCCCCATGGATACTAAGGGGTGACGATATTGTTAAAACGAAGCATAGGACAGTGTGTACTACATGCTACTGGCTTTTTTTTTTTTTTTTAATTATCTGTGTTTTGAAGTTATCTTCTGGAAAGTCTTTCAGACTGCCTTCAGGGAATAGGCTGTGTGGGCGCCTGTGGGACAGAGTGGCAACAAGTTCTACATTTTACTGTAGGTCTTTTTGATTCCTTTTGATTTCTTAACACTGTCCATGAATATTATTTAAAAATTTAGTTTAAATGACACTAATAAGAACTAGTGAGAAAAGTAGTATATCCTAGGAATTCTGTATATGTGAAAACTTGGCTTTGGAGACATCATGTCTCCCTGTGTATCTTATACTGGAAAAATGGGAAATCAGCACCACCTAAGAGAGTGTACTGGTCCAAGACACGTGGGTGCTGGACCTGACTGGGCCACTGATCTGGATCACCAACACCAGGTCTCAGTTTTCTGAGGTATAAAATGGGAAGCAAGGATAAATTCCCTTCCAATTTGAAAAATCAACAATTCCAAATTAAGTTATAACAAAATATTTTTTAAAAAGATTAAATGTATAGTTAAAACAGCATCATGGCTCTCGGGAACAAGAAGGGACACGCTCACTCTAACTCTTACATGTTGGGGACCACATGCTGGACTTTCAGTGAAAGATGCCAGGAATAGACAATTAATCTTTGACACAAAAGCAGAATATTCTGTCTGTTACAACCACAGTAGGGACATTTCTCAATATATTGACATGTAGTGATGTCAAAACTGTTTCCAAGAATTCTGTTACTGACCTATAGAAATCTATCAAACCCAAGTCCTTCATAATTTACTATATTATTGGATTACATGAATCATAATAGAAGTCAGCAAACTTCTTTAAAAAAACAGATTAAAAATGTTATGTTTATGGACTATGTCGTCTCCATTGTGACTATCAAACTCTGCTGTTGTAGCACAAATATAGCTTTAAATAATAGGTTCATGAATGGGCATGGCTGTATTCCAATAAAACTTTATTAAAAAAACAAACAGGCATTCGGCCACCTTGGCCCATAGTTGTAACCTGCAGATTGAATTTAATTAAACTCTTGCCCTAAGTTTCTGTTTGCATGGTATCCTGAGATAAGTTCCTATTGTCTTATTCTTTTTTAAAAATATTTTTTAGTTGTAGTTGGACATAATCTTTATTTATTTTTATGTGGTGCTGAGGATCGAACCCAGTGCCTCGCAGATGCTAGGTGAGCACTCTACCGCTGAGCCACAACCCCAGCCCCTATTGCCTTATTCGTGAATGTGGAAATGCTTCCTTTCTACAACCCTTACTTTTGATTATTCCTTTATGAATAATCTGCTTTGCCACTACCTCACTCTAGCCTGTTACCCTGATGCCCCCACATTTTAGTTTTACAACTTGCCTTTCTGATTTCTCTTCACTCTGAATTTATATTTCCTGAAGACAAACAGTTATAGTTGTTCCTCTTACAGTCCTTTGTTTGTGTTGTTGTTTTTATATGATTTCAACATTATCCTCAAAGTCTTAGGCTCTAATATCTTTTGTATTTAGGGAATTGTGGACAGCCTTGTTTAACATCTTTAGGATTTGATTTGTTAACCTCTTACTAAATATAGCCCTCCCTTTTTAAGTGAAGCTCAATCACATTTAATAAGCCACTTTCCTTAAAGAGCAAATAGGGTCTGTAGGCAGAATTTGTCTTGGTAAATCACTTGCAAAGATATATGTTGATCTCTGAACTTGGTGAAGAGATCCCTGCCTTAGCTAGGAGAATTAGCAGTAAGACTTACCTACCTTGTAATACCTGGCTTTGATTCTAGACAATTTCCTTGTCCATTCCCCTGAATCCCTTCCTCGTCTCTCCCCTCTCTTCTCTCCTAACATTTTCAAATTGTAAAACTTCACCTGCCTTGGACAAACTTGATACTGGCAAAGCTCTTTATTTATATGCATGAAGACTGATAGATTATTGAGATTTACTACATGCTTTAAATTCACTGTTTTTCCTATTCAGCATTTAGCTGTAGCCCCGGATAAAGGTGATTTGTGTGATCCATCTTGCTTTGTGTCTCACTTGACATTCTGCCTTTTTCATGACAGGTTGCTGAATGCTATAAAGCCAGGACTTGTTAAAAAGATCAATAGATTGCCTACCCCCATTGCAGGATTGGTGAGTATCCAGAATGGAGATTTATTTTCCAATATTCCTTTGCTCTAACCTTAGGGTCATGACAGTACCATTTATTACAGTTCTCTCCTGCAATATATATTCTACTTGAATAAGAGCGCATTGAATCCATTAAACTAAGAGTTCACTTAAAAATGAAAAATTCCAGTGATGTCTAAGTGGCATCTTAATCTTTGTTTGTAGTTTTCCCATGAGTGATAAAGTCCTTCAGTCTTAAAGAGGTAAATTTGTTTTGGGGTGAGAGGCTGATAATTGGATTGACCCCAGGGGAGGAATGTGATTTTAATTACATTTTCTCATTCCAGTGCTGCCCCCTGCATTCCCCTGCAGTGGAGGGGAGGGGAGAAAGAGACTTTCAAGAGAAACAGCATCTTCATAATAAATGGCTGTTTTCAATATCAGAAATCTACTTGGGATTAAATACCACCATTCTAAGTATTCATAGACCAATTATGTGTTGACAACTATTCTAAAGACATCATGGGGCACTAAAGTGATCCGTTGTCATCTGGAGAACTGTTGGAGCAGTGCCCTCACCCTTCTGAACCTTCCCATGTGACTGCTATAGAACTCATATGTTTACATGTGGTCCGAAGCAAGAGGGTTTTCTCAAGCATTATGATGTTTCATAATTCTTGGCAACTGATTTTAATTATTTGATTGATGTTGCCTCTTGATTAGAAAAAGGAAAAAGTTAGAAGGTTGGAAAGACAACCCAATTTTAATTCTGGAAGGAACTTGGTGCACACATGCCCGCACATGTACACGTGTACATGCATACAAGTACACAAAGCAGAGGGTGTGTATGGCGTGGTAATGATTCACTGACTGCCCCCCTTATGATTGCCTTCTGTGTGTGTGTGTGTGTGTGTGTGTGTGTGTGTGTTTGCAGAAAACAATGAGAAAAATGTCAAGAATTTAGGCAGGATCCTACATAGACCTTGCTGATTGTTTTATAGTTTCTTAGCCGTGTCACGATGACTAATTAAAATGAGATGTGACAAAAAACTATTGTGCTTGAAAACCGTGGGGGTTCTGATAGGAAGGCACATGGTATGAGCAAGTTTCTTCATTATAAAAATTGTGATTTCTATGGACGCATTTGATTTCTGATGTCAGTTGGTTGTGAGTTGGTGATTTATCATTAAAAACTGCTCTAATTTTATTTGTCAGATTTGTGTAGCCAAGTAAGTTAATACATAGATAGATGGTTACATAAGTCAATTTAGGAGGAATGAATTTGAATAATTTTGTAATGTAAATAACATGAATATTATAGACATTCACATTAGAATGTACACACACTTATTAGTTTAGAACTTTTTATTAAATCCATCTCTTTCAAATGTTGAAGCCTGGTCTTCATGATTCTGACAAATTCCTGTTTGGCTCCAAGCTTGGGGCAGTCCCTGACCTTGGAACGTGGGTGTTTAATATTACAGGAGCACAACTTGCAGCTTAAAGTCAAAAGCGGCCCCGGGGGGAATCCTTATGAACAGAAGCAGGTAGTTCTGCATCCAGTAGCTGAGAGGGAAAGGATTTTGAAAGCTTAACTTAAAATGTGAGTCACAAATGATTTTAGTAAAATTAAGGGTTTGCGATGTGTGTAATTTATCATTGTATTATTACTTTTTTCTTTTTTAATAGACCTTTTTTGTTTTAATATGTGATACATGAGAATTGAATCCAGTGCCTCACACATGCTAGGAAGTCTTTTACCACTGAGTCATGATCCCAGCCCAGTATTGTTTCTTATCATAGATCACATACTGTCCTTTTCATGTTGTTTTTGAAGCAGTCAGGCAATCTGATGCAAGCCAGCAAGGGGGCCTCTGTTGCTTTCTTCCCATTTCCATATTTGACCCAAGTCAGCGTTTCCCACCAAGTGCTCTCAGCTGAACTCTAGACCTGGAGATCTGTCTATTGGACAGCTCCATCTGAATGTCCCTCAGGCCCTTTGGACAGCATATTCAGACGAGACTCAAATGACCACTCCCGCCCAATGTCTGCAGGCATCTAGACATGCAATCAACTCGACTCTGTCTACTTGTCTACATTTCCTTGGCCACTGTCCTATAGCAGACGGTCCTCATCTTTTTTTTTTTTTTCTTTTTCTTTTTGCTGTACTAGGGATTGAATCCAGGTCCTTGCACATACTAGGCAAGCACTCTCCCCCTGAGACACATTGCCAGCCCTGTCTCATCTCCTGCCTGGACTGCTCCAGTTGACTCGTTGTTCCTCAAACGCTACTCACTCCCATGTATGATGCCTTTTTACATGACAGTCCTTTTGCATATGATCCTGTCCTCCTCCTCTTCTTGACCAAATCCTATTTATTTATCAAGCTCCTACACAAAACCACCTCTGAAACCTTGAGTATTTGTGGACTGTTATGATCTTTCATTGTAGAGTACAGATAGCATCCCCTGAAATACGAGAAAATGAGTTAATCCAAGAAAGAGATGAAAGCCAGCTGTGTTTAAATCAACTTTGGAGAGTAATATTTTGAATAACTGTTAATAATTGGAAATTAAAAGTCAGCAAATGGTTTAATTCATGTTAAGACACTGTGGCTATAAGTAGTTAATGGGCCATGATCAACTTGCCAATACCTATCATGGGCCCAAATGACATATGGTGTCCAAGTGACACACTAAGAAATCATAATTTGGAAGAAATGATCTGATAGTTCCAAATCCAGGGACAAACTGCAAAACAGCTGGCCCTATTCTTTAACACTGTCAGTGTCAATAAAGGTAGCTCCCCATCCCAAAGGCGGGAAAACTGTTGAAGACTAAAGGTAACCAAGGATAGTCAAAGACAAGGTTGATCCTTGTTTGAGAAAAAGCAACTACGATAGACATTATTGGGACAATTGAGGAATTTGAATACTAGTTGAATATTTGATGACAGTACTCTCTCAGTGTCTTGCATGTGATCCTACCCTTGTGTATATAGAGGGTATTCTTGATATTACAAGGTACCCAAATTGAATTATTTAGAGATGAAATGTAAATAATGACATTAGACCATGTGTATGTGTTTAGAATTTCAGCAAAAATGTCTGTCTATAATATATAATTTTATGTAAACATGGAGACAGAGATGGAAGGAAGGAAACGTGGTAAAATGTTAGATTTCAGTGAGGGACATACATGTGTCATGGTACTATTCTTGCAACACTTTTGGTAAACTGGAAATTTTTCAATATAAAAAATTGGAGATTCAAAGGCATTAATTCTCTTTTTGGAGGCCAGGAACTGCAAATATAAGTGGTAGTTTGCAGATTCAGGTTAGTAGAGATGCAGTCCTTTGTGTGATGTATTTTCTTCTTTCTGATCCTTATGACAGGCAGGGAAGGGCAGACAGAGAACACTTCAAATGCATCTAAAGACTTGGAGGTTGGTTTGTACTTTGTCAGAGGTTCGACGGGCCACTGACCATCTATTGATCAAGAAGTTCTCATCATCAGATCTGAGAAGTGAAGGAGGAAGGTTTGATGTGCCTGGAGCCCACGCTTGTGTGCCTTAATGGCCTGGTGTTGAGAGGCCAATCCATTAAGATGGCTCAGCTGCTTGACTTGAAGATAAATAGAAAAGTGTGTTTGCACATAGCAATCCCAAATTATAAACACCTGTAGATTTACAAAAGCATGAATAGGTGTATTTTAGCCCCTGTGGTTACAAAGAATTCAGGGGTGAAGGTGTTAAAACAAAGTAGTTGAAAATCATTTCCTGGCCAGAATGCAAAGACCCTGAATCGGGGTCTGTGTTTCCTCTGTAACGACTGCTGACATCTGAAGCCGCGTGGTGAGTGCCTACAGATGCTGCATTCTTTTTTAGGTGTGAGTGATCCTGCTAGCTGTTGCCAGAGAGAAAGACCTCAAATTTAGGTCTTGGCATAGTAAGGACTTTTTAAAAAGCTGCCCTTCTGCCGGCCAACTCGTCAGCATTGCACAATCGAGTTACATCCTGAAACTCCACGAAATGCTCATTACAGATCATGCTACGTGTTGTTTAATCCCAAGTCCTTGCTGACCACAGGAGTTTGGGGATTCAGCTTTTTCTTGCTGGGATTTTGATTCTGACAACCATTCACATGCAGGCAGGTGCAGTGCAGTTGGAAATAGATGATATTTGGGGATTCTGCCCTCGAGTGCAGAACCTTTTAAGAGCTGTCATGAAATATTTGATTGATCTTACCCGTGAATCCATGAGGATGAACGTGATCCGAGAAAAAGAGAATTTTTCAGATGGAAGGCCACCTTAGATGTATTTATTTTATAAACGAAGACGTGCGAGTCCTTTAGGGAAGAGTTATTTGCCCAAGATGAGACAAATAGTAAAAGCTGAGGTGAATCGCATACCAAGGCTGCCCTCTCCTTGGTTGTTACATATCCAGGTGTTCCCAGAGGAAGACGGAACACATGTTAATACTAGGTTAATTTACCTTTTGTGAGAAGGAGGGGAAAGCAAAGCCTAAAGACTACTTAATAAGTTGCTCTTTCTATCTGTCTCTCCTCTCTCTTTTGGCCAATACTCTCAAAGTATCTTTCTGTGAAATGCCACGCTTCACAAAATGCCCTTAGTCTGATGAATGGTGGAAATTTGACTCTCACTGAAGTTCAACAGAGCAGGAATGTGACTGGTTTCTGAATTAGCCTACCATCTAGTAACCTTAACTCACCCAGAAATGGATTTTTGTGGGAAAAAAAAGATGTATTTTTCTTTCATCAAAGATAACCTTTCATAGACAGTTAGATCTGAGCTCCCTGAAATGGATCAAAATGTAAATTTCCATAAATTCTGTGGACTTTCGGAAGCTTTCAGAAGGTATCTGCTTTATTGGATGAAAAGGAGGGCAGAGCAGTTGACGTTTCATTGATTGAGGGAGGGAGGAGTGGAAATGGTACAGGGCTGTCGAGATTTCTACATTATGAGAGGATTAAAAATATCGATTTGGGCAAAAGGTAGACACACAAA